CACCGGTCTAAATTATTCATCTGGACCATTTGGAATCCTCAACGCAACCGACAAAGCTAGTAATGCTCCAAAAAAAGAAAAGAAAACTGATCACACGACCAATCATACGAGTTTAGTATATGATTAAAAGCAAATCTATAAATGTCTTAGGTGTTTACACATGCATTTTATAATCAATCACATCCATAGATTTAATGTTCATATAATGTATCCTGAAACTATATATTAACCATATGTATTGCTGCCACTACAAAAAAAAAAAACGTTTTTGCAACGAAATTCATTTTGTTGCTAACTTTGAAATGCTTTAGCAACGCTTCGCAACGAAATAACTTTGCAACGAAATCGCAACGCTTTCGCAATGTTCTGGCAACGCTTAGCAATGATAGAACTGCGTTGCAATTTAGCAACGAAATTGCATTGCTAGTTTGTAACAATTAGCAATGCTTACCAATGCACGAAAAGTTTGCAACACTTTTATAACGAAATATAAACGGTTTGCAACGTTATTGGAACGAAATGATTTCGTTGCTAATTACAACAAAACTTTCGTTGCAAATTATAATCTTTTTGCAACGAAATTGCCACAAAACGTATTTCGTTGGCATCCGGACTGTCACAATGTGTTTGTACACAATTAGCACCGAAAGAATCGATTAATGTCGCCTCCGTGCATGAACAGTTTTTGTTCACTCACGACTAGTTCGTCCAAATTGTCATTCGAATTTACTCTTTTCAATTGAAGGTACGGATAATCTTATACATGTAGGGTTAGATATATATGATTGATATTATTAAGTATTATGCTGGGTGTTAACCATATGTACTGTTGATTCTGGCGGGCGATAACATAAGTCTGAACAGACAAATCGGAAACCATTACTTGGTGAACAAGTCGGTGACGCTCATTACGTAATCTTGGACTTTATTTGAGCGGATAAAACTTTTCTTCTGCTTAAATCTTGCTCCAAAAGAATATGCTGATATATTTATATGTTCCATATCATGCAACCTTCCGTTTCTTGGAAAAGCGCCGCCGCCCGTGAAACCTAGATCTGGACCAGATCTTGATCGGCGAATTTCCCCGGCTTGCTGTTTCACGTCCCCACCTTCGCAAGGTGGTCAGAAAAAAGAAACTTCTTGTAACGACTCGAGGCCGCTACGAATTATCGAAACTGCCCTCACACAGCAACCCGAGACCTTTCAGCGTGTTTTGTCCTCACTCGCACGTATATCGAGACACTTCCCAGTAGGTCACCCATCCTGAGATTGCTCTAGAGCCATCACGCTTAATTTTGGAGTTCTCTCGGGATAGTCAACCAAAAAGGTAGGTGCACCTTGTTGCTATGAGTAGCTCAACTAGTTCTTTTATGATCTTAGACTGTATAGTCCTATACCTATACAACACTCGGATCTCTCTTATTCCGGTGTGTTCGATTCATCCATGTACCCCCTATCCAGAAGCTCGTCAGGAGCCGCCCCTTGTCCGTGCCTCTGCACCGGCGATCACTCCCCACCCTCCTACGGTACTCTGGGTTGTCACAGGCCTACCAGCTTCCGCCTGGTTCGTCCTCGAACCACACCGTACTGGGAGAGTACCGGCTCTAATACCATCTGTAACGACCCGAGGCCGCTACGAATTGTCGAAACTGCCATGACACAGCAACCCGAGACCTTTCAGCGTGTTTTTGTCATCACTCGGACGCATACCGACTACCGAGACACTTCCCAGTAGGTCACCCATCCTGAGATTGCTCGAGAGCCAACACGCTTAACTTTGGAGTTCTCTCAGGATAGTCAACCAAAAAGGTAGGTGCACATTGTTGCTATGAGTCGCTCAACTAATTCTTTTATGTTATCTTTAGACCGTATAGTCTCATACCTATGCAGCCCTCGGATCTCTCTCATTCTGGTGTGTTCGATTCATCCCTGTACCCCTTACCCAGAAGCTCGTCAGGAGCCGCCCCTTGTCCGTACCTCTGCACCGGCGATCACTCTCCGCCTTCCTACGGTACTCTGGGTTGTCACAGGCCCACCAGCTTCCGCCTGGTTCGTCCTCGAACCACACCGTACTGGGAGAGTACCGGCTCTGATACCATCTACAAAGACCCGAGGCCGCTACGAATTGTCGAAACTGCTCTCACACAGCAACCCGAGATCTTTCAGCGTGTTTTGTCCTCACTCGCACGCATACCGAGACACTTCCCAGTAGGTCACCCATCATGAGATTGCTCCAGAGCCAACACGCTTAACTTTAAAGTTCTCTCGGGATAGTCAACCAAAAAGGTATGTGCACTTTAAAGTTCTCTCGGGATAGACTGTATTCATTCCGGTGTGTTCGATTCATCCCTGTACCCCTTACCCATAAGCTCGTCAGGAGCCGCCCCTTGTCCGTGCCTCTGCACCGGCGATCACTCCCCGCCCTCCTACGGTACTTTGGGTTGTCAGATACCTACTCCTCCAAAATAGAACATTTAATATTTACAGTTTAAAATCACAAAAATAAAAAAACTGCACAAAAAACTGAACATTAATTTTGTGTTTTTGAAATGCTTAGATCGATATTATCAATATTATTTTTAAATTTTAATATATATATTTTTTAAAAATTTAATATATAATTTAGTTAAAATTAATAATTATAAAAATGAGCATTAATTAGAATATTAATATTTCTAAATAATAATAATAATAATATATCCAAATTTGAATAATTCAACTGATAAAAAATGAAACAAAGTTCTTTTTCAACCCTAGGTTTATAGATTGTAGAAGGATTAAAAGTTGGGTGAATTTTTATATTATCAAAATAATAATAATAATAATATATTTTTATACTAATATCTAGATAAATTCTAATTATTTGAACGTAGCTATATTATTTATTTATATCTTATTGATAACAATGGGCATCTTTTGGTACGATGTTCACGTGACCGAACACCATTAAAACATTTCTACGTGGTCGTGTTATCTTCCCCCATCTTCTTCTTGTGTAAATTTGTGGTTACTCTTCATTTGCCTTTGTCTTCTTCTCCTGAGGGAGCGCCGCCTCACGCCTATGGCCGCCTCCATTAAATCTCTAATATGGCAGACGTGGTCTCTAGTCTTATTTTTCGGAAATATGTATTATATTTTTCATATTAATCTATCTTAATGTTTAAATTTTACATTAAAATATCGTTTATTTGTTTTTTATAATATTATTAAAAGAAGTTATATCTTTCGTTGACTTCCTACTACGTTCTCCCGACAGCAAGCTTTAGTTGAGTTGGACAAATTAACAAACAATACACAAACTTTAATTTTAACCAAAAAATACCTAACTTTAAAAGACATCTCAATCAATATTTATCATTTTAAATGACTATATTCATTACATAGAAAAAGAAACATTTACTCCGTATTTTCTTATATATAGAAAACAAAACAAGTATGATAAGCATATTATTGATTTGACATATTATATATTGTTATTTTCAATATATTTATAAGAAATCTGTATGATTAAGACATATAATAAATAATAAATGATACATATTGTTTTTGTTAATGTGACGATATTTTTTTTTGGATTAATATAATCATATTATTTAGATATTTCATAAAATTCAATAATCTAGATGTTTTTAGTGATGTTTTATCAACTTGGATATTAATATTGGTTTTCTTGTCTTATTGTGAACCGGACGGATGTTTTCCGTTTTGGTTTTACAGGTAAACCGGTTCTACACGGTGACGTTTTACATATATATATATATATATAGAACCTTCAGCCGAAGGGTCATTTAGCAAATACGTGAAGACTCCGGTGTTCTTCTTTTGTTTACTGTTCCGGTGAGCCGGAGCGAAATATGAGGGTTCGAGGTCCAAATCCCTACAAAACCAAAATGATAAAACATAATCAAAATGAAATCGAAAGATCGTTATGACCCAATCTGGGTAGTTCAACCGGTGAAACAGAGGCGCAAAGCGTCTGTCCTGTTCCGAATTCGAACTCCAGGTTGGGGAGGGAGCACATAATTCAAATCATATTGCTGGCTCCCGGCCCCGAGATTAGTCTGGACCTCGCCTCAGGAAACCCGGTTACCCAAAAAAATAAAATATTATGGTCATATGTACAAACTCTATTTTGGTTACCCATTGTCTCTCAAATTGAATATATTATTTATTTTTCCAAGTATCATACAAACTCATATATGAGAAGTTAAAGTAATCTTCAGTTTTATAGGATTGGAGAAGTAATTAAAAACCACCAAATATGTACAACTCACACTAATCTATAGGATTTCTACTTTCAATATGATTTTCTAATAAATAAGGTTCGTTTAATAGGGGAAAACCCCTAAATGGGTTGATAAGTTAGTTTGTCTCATGCCATAAGGGTGTGGGTTCGACTCCTTGCTAACGCATCTATCGTCTGTCAGTTACGGCTGATTCAACTCCACGCGTGTGTTGCACACTCGTGCGTGTGGGCTTGGGTTTACTCGGTCAGCGCGTCCGAAGGGTAGCAGCCGGGGTTCCCAATGTATAAAAAAAATGTCCGTTTAATATAGATATTTACTACAATTGGAGACAACATAGATATAAACAAAATACTTCTGTATATATAAACCGAATATTCTATAATGTTTGCATATATATTCCTCTAGTATCGAAAGCATATGCATGGTAATTAATATAAAGAAAATATATCTATAGCAAAAGTACGCTCAAAGACCATTAATAAATCAAACATTTTCCTAAAAAAAATAAAATAATAAATCAAACAAAACTAGTAAGAATTTACGTACATGCAATTCCCATCCATGCAGGGGTGAATGGATAGAACTATCCGAATCTAACCGTGCGTATGCTGACACGTGTTTCTCAATCCAGCCACCCAACGATTTCTGTTGTTATCGTAAGAGCATGGATTAATAGAAAACACGTTTTAAATGCATGTCCGAAAAAAAAAAAAAAAAAAAAAGGAATCCGAGGAATTGGGCCATCATTTGTAATGGGTCGAAGCATATCTCGAAGTTTTTCTTCTTAACGTTTATTTTCACAGTGAATTGAATCTGAAAATGGTTGAGGGAGTGGCAAAGGCAATGTCGATTATGATCATAGCCGCCGTTGTCACGGCCATGGCCGGTGCGGCGGCGCGTGCGCAAAAAGTGCCGTGTTACTTCGTGTTTGGAGACACCTTCTTCGACAACGGCAATAACAACGACTTGGTAACGCAAACAAAATCCAACTATCTACCGTTCGGTATTGACTTTCCCAATGGTTCGACCGGCCGGTTCACCAACGGCCGCACTATCCCCGATTTCCTCGGTTAGCTCTAAATTCACAAACCGGTTTCCGGCTCACTTCCTTGCGTACCCAGTACCCACTCTTGCCAAAACGAATAAAAACGTGTATAACCTGACCTCTTTATATAATTTATGTTTCAGCTGAATTCCTGGGGTTCAAGGATTATATCCCGCCCTTTGCCGGATCATCTCCGTCACAAGTGTTCACCGGTCTAAATTATGCGTCTGGAGCATCCGGACTCCTCGACGATACCGGAAGAAACATGGTGAAATTCCACTAACCATATGGATTTAGTGTACGATTGAATGCAAATTTTTATAGGTTTGTAACCAATCACATGCATGGAATTAACGTTCATAATCTAAAAATATGTATATGAACCGTATAAACCTGTTGACAGGGCGATAACCTCGGTCTGAGCAGACAAATAGCGAACCACTTGGAGGCTATCACGAGGGCGGCCGTACCACAGCACCGGCTGAAGAGGTGTTTGTACACAATTAGCACCGGAGGCAGCGATTTCGTCAACAACTACTTGATGTCGCCTCCGTTCATTACCGGTCTCGTTTTCACTCCCGACCAGTTCACCGAGTTTCTCGTCCAACTCTATGCTTCTAATTTGAAGGTAGGTAAATACAACCGAACTGAAAAAAAAAAAAAAGATTCTCAAATTCTAAATTTCTAACCATATATATATATGTACGTATAGGTTTTGTATATATCCGGAGCAAGGAAAGTTGCATTGTTCGGATCTCCTGAAGTCGGATGCGCACCGGGGCTGGCCAACGCCCAACATGGTGGAAATGGCTGTGACGAGGATGCCAACTCCTTAGTCAGGCTATTCAACAATAGGCTCAGAGCTCTCATCGCTGATATCAACAAAAACCTAACTGATGCCAAATTCACTTACGCCGATGGGTTCAACACCGGAGGACTAGGTAACGTATTAACATCTGATTTATTTAAAAAAAAGGCTTAAAAAATTACCAACTTTTAAAAAAGTTTCATATAAAACCATAAACCATGTAACTTTTATATATCATGAACTTTTCATAATTTTATCATATTCCCACAAATTTCATAAGTTCATGACTTTATATGAAAATTAAAAAATTCGTAAAGTTAATAAATATGTGAGAATATATTTCATGATTTTATCTAGAAGTTATAAAGTTGGTTTTTTTATATGGAACTTTTTTGGAAGTTTGTGATTTCGTATTCAATTCTTCCTTGACAAAAGATATATATATATATATTGCATACTACACTTTTTTTTATTTAAATATTTATTGAGATTAATCGTGAAGATACTTACTCTTTTTGTTTCTCTCATATCCGAGAAGGTGATTCTTAAGTAATAAAAGTATTCATGAGATCTCAGTGACATAATATCCGTGAGAGTTGTGTTTTCATTTTGTTCTTTTAATTTTCTATAAATGATTAGGGCTGAGGAACGACACCACCTGCTGCACGGTCGAACCGGGAAAGATTCTATGCGTACCGAACGGGCCGGTTTGTGCAGACCGGACCAAATACGCCTATTTTGACGCCTTCCACTTCACAGAGGTCGTACACTCAGCCGGGGCGACGGCTGCCTTCACCGGCCAGACCGCTTCTCCGTACAGCATCGAAGAGCTTGCTAGTTAATTAACTGAAACCACCTACCCCTTATATATATGAACGTACGTGAAATAATTGACTGTTGTTAGCAGTACAAAATTAGCTACCAGTGGGCCGTCCTGTAATAAAATGCCAAAGCTTATATGTTATGGATAATAATAAAGGTATGTTTTGCCTTTGAATTACAGCACAATTTTAAAATGTTAAAATGAAAAAAAAAGACTGAAATGACACAATTTCTGTATAATTTTTTTTTTGTTAATTTGAAAGTTCATCGTATCTTCGACACAACTATATTTTTCTCACTCTCGAGATATTTTTTGTACCATAATTAAATTGTATAACTTCTCTCCGACCACTACCGAATAAGAGATATGAGACACCAATACCTCTTACCTTTCTCAACCACCTACGTCATTTGATCACTACAGATTGGGTTGTATAATTTATAAACATCTTAGGCAGTGGCGGACGAACGTTGATGGCAATGGAGGCAAAGATCCCCATTAGTTTAATTAAAAAAAAAAGAATGTAATTTTCTTTATAAATTTTCATAATTTTGCAAATAAAATTGGAAATACCCCCATATTATAATAGAAAAATTATATTATAATAGAAAAATTATGTTTGCCCCCACCTAACGGATTTCCTAGATCTTAGGTGTAAAAATATATAAAAAATGTTTTCACTCTTATCTAATATTCTGAAAGATTATATCTATATCTATATAGATTGAAATTGTAACATTTCGAAAAAAGATAAGTTATGAGAAACGTGAGTTTGCGAGAGTTGATGAGGAGTTTTTTGTTTTTTTTTTTTTAATTTAATTAGCGCGTGACTGTTAGCAAATATGTGACACCCCCAATTTTGTTGGATCTTCATGGGCCTAGGTAAGCCCAAACCAGACGGCGAATAAAAATGCCACACAATTCTAACTCAGCCCATATTGCATAACCCGACCCGGCTTAACCTCCTCTCTGTTCATCGGTTGCAATCAATCGAATTGGCGATCACATTGGTTTTTCATCGACGCCAAAAAGAGAGAGGCAATGCAGGAGATGTTGATGAAAGCGGCCATAGAAGGGGAGCAGGAGAAACAGTTGAGTTCTCTTTGATCGGGAAGGAGCCCTACTTCGTTCTCCCGACAGCAGGCTTGCCCTATTTGTCGTCGCAATCAATTGGCCTTCCCTGAAATCAGGTTTGTTTGATGGAAACCTAGGAGCTTTGTTGTTCGATTTCGGCTGGAACTGTCCACTTTATCTTGATGACGTTTGTAATTTAGAACAGTGGTCTCAACCTGAATTCCGAAGAATCGGGTAATTTGGATCAATCCCTTCTGATACAAACCCTTTTTTCTTGACATATAGATTCGACATTCCAACGAAATCTCGCTCTGAAGTCGTCATTTTACATGTTGAGTCACGGCTTTTCTGTTTCTGGTTCATTTCCAAGGTTTGACGCTGAGTCAAAGCCCCATACACCAAAACAACCAAATCTGAAGAACTTTTGGCTCAGTTAACAGGTTCCTCTGCATATGTATTTATAATACATATCCATCCATCTAATCTAATCTTCTGGTAGCAAAATATGTTTGCTCTCAGTAGAAAACTAACCCTAACCCTAACTCTAACCCGAGAATCAATCAACAAATATAACACAAAAGGAAGGAAATTTACATCCCGTTATGTTCGGAACGGTGAGCCAATGCGGCTTCCTCCGGTGGGCTGACGAGTTTCTTGTACTCTCTGGCCGAGCCAATTGCAAACTCGGCGAGTGAACTCACTGCAACTGACATGCCTGCACACAGTACCCTAACGGCTACTTCAGCCAGCTTCTCAGCAGTCATCTCCTCTTCTACTCTCTCAACCACTACAAGCTCCATGCTCTCTGGCCCGTGTCCGTACCTCCTTGACCCGACCTGGTTTGGATCTTCCCTGAGCTGCTGAGCATAGAGGGAACCCATACCGGCTGCAAAGAAATCCAACCCGTCTAGGACTGGCTTCTCGTTCAATCCGTTTAGTAGCCTTGACCACTGGATGCAGATCCCGTATAATGGGTGGGGAAAAGATGATAATCTGACTTTTTCAGGATCTGGGTCACATCTGAAACATCTGAGTAGCCATCCGGCTAGTGCCTGCACGTAAGATCTCTGAGATATGATCCATGTTTCGAAGCAGGCTCTCCAGTTTCTAAGCTGAGCTTCAAGGTTCAAGGCTGATCGAGCTAATCTGTGAGAGTTGGTCTCGGGTAACGAAGAAGAATGTCTCTTCTTGCGAAGCTTAGAAGGTGTGCCTGCTAGTAACATCTTGGCTTCGTCCAAGGTTCTCTTCTGAATCTGGTGACACTCTGCCATCACTTTCCACATCCGAGTTAATCTGTACGGAGCATTATCCACAGTTCTTACACTTCGGGCATAACAGAGAAATGTTTTTTTTTTAAGATGAGGATTTTGACATACCCGTGAACAAGCTCGAGAAGCTGAGGCATCAGTTCTTGGTCACGGAGTGTCTCGATCCTTTTGGAGATAGCCTCTATCGAGTGTATCCATACCTTGATCCGGGTGTGCAGATCTCTAATGGTGGCCCTCGTCTTTTCGACCGATGAAGGATCCTCTCCTTTCACATCCTGGTTCATCAGAAGCCTGCATTTCTTCTCATACGCAATTCTCACCCGCTCTCCAGACTGTTGAAACGACCAGTTAGATGGCAATAAAACAGAGTAAAACCGACGTCACAAGGATTACAGAGTTGAGTTATCATAGATTACCCTAACTTCTTCGTAGAGTTTTTTCTCCCAGGCATAAAGTCGGTCCAACGTGGACTGGTGGCTACCCGAAAGCATGCAAGATTCATCTGAAAGATCGCTTGTGTTTTCTTGCCCGCCCTCCTTCGAAACAGCGGAATAACTGATCAAGAATCTGGACGAGGAAGACCTTGATGAACCCGAGCGGAACAAAGCTACTGGATTCAGCATTTTCATGGCTGAAAAGACGGAAATTTCAACATTCAAAACGGGGATTCATATAGAATCGATTGAGAAACGAGGATAGAATTCTTGTTTACCACTGAGTTCGCTGGTTGATGATGAGTACTGTGCGCTACTAGCCTCCAATAGCCCCGAGACATCTTTGGCAGCTTTACAGACAGTTGCAAACTGTTCTTCGAGATCTTTAATTACTTCTGCCATGCTCGTTGGCCTTCGGTTCACATACACCGTGTAGCCGGGCGTTTCTGACTTGGCATTGTCTCCTTCACCGACCGTCTTCACTTCTTGGCTACCAACTCCGACCACATGCCTTGTAGATTTCGCCCTGGACACCTCGAAGCTTCGCAGTTCTTGGGTCCCATTGCCTTCACCATTGTTGTTATCATTCTCGGTTTCACAGTCACAGCCACTGTCTGTAAATTCCTCCTCCTCGGCATCATCACCATCATCGTCATCAATGTCTTCATCTTCCTCGTCGTCCTCATCAACATCTTCAACTGTAACTTCTTCATTACAAGAACCTAAACCGGTTTTGCCTCTTTCTTGTTTTGCTTCCATGTTATGAGGATTCACAAACCTCCTCTCATGTTCATCAGGTTCATCTTCATCGTCTTCTAGCTCGGGAATCCCTTCTTCCTCCCGAACCCGTCTCAGCCCTCTGATTTCGTCGTCCACGCTCGTCTGAGGATCGACGCTGCTCCGGTCATAAGCATATCCATGATAATCCAATGACGAAAACGGGTTCCAGAAGAAATCCCATTGCGAGTTCTGCTGTGGGGAAGGAGGCGGGATACTGTGACTGCTCGGCCTCTGCTCCTCGGGAGAATTCATCCCGTTCCAAAACGACGAAGAAGAGTTCGAGTTCATGTTCATTCCGAAAATGGCATCCCCGTATTGGTTACTTGGGGAATACGCATCAACCCGGTATGTTTCCGGTGACCTAGGAGGCCTCTCTTCCACCGAAACTGCTCTGGTTCGACTTGCCATCAAGTAATTAACCTTCATTCTCGATCCCGGCTTAGCTTGAATCAATTTCGGAGGCGAGATCGTGATGAACCCACCTCCTCCTCCGGGACTCGGTTTCTTCACGGGAGTGACAAACGAGTCGAACGAGAATTTGTGTGGCTCGTCTTCTTCGATGTATTCTCTGAGAGCATCCGAGACGCGTTTCATGGATTGGATATAAGCAATGTGACCCGAAGCGAACTTAGTTCTTTGTTCCACAGCTTGTTTGATGAAACGTTTCCTGTCTTTGCAGATCCGGACAGCTTCCTCGTCGTCTAGCTTCGACTGAGAACATCCCATTTCTTGTTACCTCGAATCCGAGTTCAAAGCTCTCGTCTTTTCAGGATTCTGGAGATGGGTTTGATCCCTCAAGATTCATCAAGCATTACCCAGAATCTGCAGAAGAAACTGTGAACATGCATCAGATTTAACATGTAATAAGAGGCTTGTGTAATGGCGGGACATTGTTGTAACCGCGGAACAGGAGTAGCTGAAAATCATTCGGCATCTGTGACTCGTAGATTACCAGAAAAAGAGAAGAACATCGCCGAAAACGCAGAACATGTCTCTGTGTTCGAGATTCTTTGCTTAATTTACAAGAAACAGAGAGTTTCTGTGTTCCTTAAATGTCTATTTAACAAACAGTTATTTTCCTTGTTCTTCAGACTTGAGATTATAAAAAATGACACAGAAATATTAAAAAAAAATTGAAAAAAATAAGAGTACAACGAACGACTCATGTGAAAATCCAAGAAAACTAAAACCCATTTACAGAATTTTTTTTTTCTCGACCTGCAGATTTTCTCCTTCAGGCAAAGGAAACTAAAAGCAAGAGGAAAAACTAAGAACCCAAATCGGAGAAAACCAGAAAACCCACATAAAAAATGACGCAAAAGAAGTTCGATTTCTCTCATGTGGTAACTACGAATGAAAAGCGAAGAACAAACCCAGAAATTTTCAGACAAAAACAAAAAGAAACAGAGAGACAGAAGACAAACACCTCTGAGTTTCTAGTCAAAAGAAGCTGAGGCTGTGATGATCACTGCAGATACGGAGAGAGAGAGAGAGAGACGTTGTGGAAAGCAACGGTCAAAAATCTACAGAGAAGACGAGGAAGAAGACGAAGGCGAAGGAAAAAAAAAATCACTTGACAAAAGGAAAATAAAGTGTTGGGGTAACTCATTAAAGCTAAGAATATGGCCGAGGCGAACACGGAATACGACAGCCGTTACAATTGTCCCTGGTTTTCTCGTTTATATCGGAACTGCCACTGTCCCTGCCGCTGAAGAACCTCATGCATTTTTTATATTGTTCGATATATTTTAATTAATTTCTCTTTTAAAAAATTAATATGGAATTATTTTTACATTATATTTACAAGACCCGAGATTCTTGTCTTCGTTTTAGAATCTCTATGTTCTACACTCGACACCATATTTATTGCAAAACCTCATTCTATTTTTTTTTTAATAAACCCCACAGATAGCTGCCCAAAAAAATACTGACATGTATAGCCATTGGATAGCCAGCAATCAAAATACTGACACATTATTATTATTATTGTTGTTATTATCATCACATTTATTTACTGAATTATAACGTGGCGCACCTGGTCGGGGTACGAGGACATCTTGATGAGTAATAAAAATACGGAGGCATGGGTATTTTCGTAATTGCACCGTACACCGAATGGAGGAATTTTGGTAAAAAGCAATAAAAGGTGGCCCGGCCTTTAAAGCTAAAGGCAGAGATCTGGACCCACAGTTAAAGATATGATTGATGCCATCTTTTAACTGTGTACCCGTCGTACCCCTGGTTTTTCTATCTAATCACGGAAACGCCATTCTTCAATAATTTGTCCAGGCCCGAAGTGTCTCATTTGGCCCATTAAGAATATATGTTGTTTCTGCCGCCCCCACTATGCTTTTCATTCATTCCCAGTGCTACCCCTGGTGTTTTGACCTAATCACGGAAATGCCATTCATCAAGAAATCATCTAGAAAAATAAATGTTTGTGGCCCAATGGGTCATTCATCATGGAATTCTGGAGGCCCAAACTATCTGATTGGGCTCATTTTCAACCATTACCAAAACAGTAAAAATGGTGTGATTTAATTAATAAAAAAGATTGTAGAAACATTCGATATTAATATGTAGATATAGACGAGTTTACGGATGAATTTATTTGGTTAATCATCAGATTCAAATAACATATAATTTTAAATTTGAATTCGAACCCAAAAAACAAAAAATTTATATTTTTTTCAATAAAATTCTAAAAAGAATGGAACGTAATCAAATCAAATTTAGTATAAAACTAAACAATTATATTTTTTTAAAACTAAAATAAACCAACTCGAATATAATCCGAATGAAAACCAAATAAGACATGTCGTAACGAGTTGAATAATATTCGAAATTGATTGCAGTTCATACTCATAAAAATATTTTGTTGGTAAAAAATTATTTAAAAAGAAATTTAAGAACAAAATATATTTGCTCCTAAACATATTGTAATTAGGAGTTTGAACTTAACTTAAAGTGCGTAAAAAAATTCTTATAAAGGAATATCCAACATAGAGCAAAGGTTTTTAATTCATGATCCAGTGGCAGAGCATCTCCGTCAATCTTCCCCCAGAATCAAACCCTAATTCCTAAATCATCTTCGAAGAAATCGATATTCCCTGAGATTGAACAACGATTGAGGAATCGGGTTGTGTTTAATCGGAGAGAAATCGCGATGCATCTTACCTTTTCGCAGACAGCGATGCCACCGATGATCGCGCATGGCTCTCTCTCTCCTCCGCCTTCCTCCGGCGGTGGAGACTCACCGGAGATTCCCGATGCTTGGTACGGAAACATGCAGTACCTTCTTAACATCTCGGTGATTGGTCTCCTGTGCTGCGTCTCCATCTTCTTCTTCGTCAAGCTTCGCAGTGACCACCGTCGCATGCCTGGTCCGTCCGCGATCGTCTCCAAGCTCCTCGCTGTCTGGAAAGCCACGTGTCGCGAGATCGCTCGTCATTGTGGCGCCGACGCTGCTCAGTTCCTCCTCATCGAAGGTGGTAGCTTCGTCCTCCTTTTCTCCGTTGCGATTCTGGCTGTCTTCGTTATGCTCCCGTTGAATCTGTATGCCGGCACTGCTGTATTGAACGATGAATTCTCCAAAACGATGATTACCCATATCAAGAAAGGTTCGGGTCTGCTTTGGGTGCATTTTGTTTTTGTTGTGCTTGTTGTTCTCATAGCGCATTTTGGGATTTCTGCCATTGAAGGAAGGCTTAAGTGTACTAGGTTTAGAGACGGGAATGGTAATCTTAGCGATCCGAATGCGAGCTCTACTGCTTTATTTACTATTATGGTTCAGGGTTTGCCTAAAAGCTTAGGATCTGATAGAGCTGTCCTTGAAGAGTATTTTCGGGAAAAGTACCCGGGTAAAGTTTATAAGATGATAATTCCTATGGATTTATGTGCATTGGATGATCTTGCCACGGAGTTGGTTAGTGTACGAGATGATATTACCTGGTTGGTTGCCAAGATGGACTCTAGGCTCTTGGCTGAGGAGGTCGAGAGTGACGGACATGGAGGATTACTGAGTTGGGCATGCATTCTGTGGATGAAAGTGAAAGGATTGTGGTCTCAGATTACAGAGAGGCTGGGTTTTACTGATGAAGAGAAGCTAAGAAAGCTGCAAGAATTGAGAGCTGCGTTGGAAACTCGGTTGGCAGCTTACAAAGAAGGACGGGCACAAGGTGCAGGGGTTGCTTTCGTGGTATTTAAGGACGTTTACACAGCTAATAAGGCTGTTCAGGATTTCAGAATCGAGCGGTCGAGGCGTTTTGGAAAGTTCTTCTCTGTCACCGAGCTAAGACTGCAGAGGAACCAGTGGAAAGTCGAAAGAGCGCCTCTGGCAACCGACATTTATTGGAATCATCTGGGATTAACGAAATTCTCTTGTAGAATGAGAAGGGTGATTGTTAACTCGATCCTGCTGCTGATGCTCGTGTTTTTCAGCTCTCCCCTTGCGTTGATCAGTGCCTTTATAAGTGCTGGGCGGATCATCAATGCTGAAGCCGTTGATCATGCCCAGTCTTGGTTTACTTGGGTTCAAACTTCTGGCTGGCTCGGGTCTTTGATTTTTCAATTCTTGCCAAACGTCATCATATTCGTGAGCATGTACCTTGTCATCCCTTCAGTTCTCTCTTATTTTTCCAAGTTTGAACGACACTTGACAGTGTCTGGGGAACAAAGAGCGGCTCTCTTGAAGATGGTTTGCTTCTTCCTCGTGAATCTGATCGTGCTGAAGGCTCTCGTCGAGTCGTCACTGGAGAGCGCCCTCTTAAAAATGGGTCGTTGCTATCTGGATGGTGAGGACTGCAAGAGGATTGAAGAATACATGAGCCCATCCTTCTTATCGAGATCGTGCCTTTCCGCTCTGGCTTTCCTCATCACGAGCACTTTTCTGGGAATCTCCTTCGATCTGCTGGCACCGATCCCATGGATCAAGAACAAGATCCAGAGATTCAGGAAGAACGACATGCTCCAACTGGTTCCCGAACAAAACGAAGAGTACCCTCTTGAGAATCAAGAGAACACGAGCAGCAGCCTTCAGACACCGCTCATGTCTGAAAACATGTTCGAGTCACCCAGGTTCAACGAGATCGAACCCATGGGTCAAGACCTCGCGGAATATCCCATCAGCCGGACCTCGCCAATCCCGAAACAGAAATTCGACTTTGCCCAATACTATGCCTTCAACCTAACCATCTTCGCTCTAACCATGATCTACTCCTCGTTCTCCCCGCTCGTGGTCCCGGTCGGAGCGATCTACTTCGGGTACAGGTACATCGTGGACAAATACAACTTCCTGTTCGTATACAGAGTACGGGGATTTCCGTCGGGGAATGAGGGGAAGATGATGGACACTGTGCTATGCATCATGAGATTCTGCGTGGATCTGTTCCTGATCTCGATGTTGCTCTTCTTCTCCGTGAAAGGGGATTCCTCCAAGCTTCAAGCCATTTTCACGCTCGGAGTGCTGGTGATGTACAAGCTCTTGCCCTCCGATTATTCCGACAGGTTTCACCCCGCTTTGCTCAGAGGCCTTCAGACAGTGGATAGCTTCCTCGACGGCCCCACTGATTACGAGCTCTATTCCCAACCCAACTTCGACTGGGACACTTACAACCCTTGACTTCATTATTCCAATTCTATTCTATTCCACCACTTATTTCTTTATTTATTTTTATTTTTTTTAACTCGGCAGCGAGCAAATTTTTCTCTTTGCCTCTGTGTAAACTTTGTATATTTCTTGTGTATAACCAGAATATTTTATGAAAAAAAAAATGGATCGAATCTTGGTAGGGATGGATTCGGGTTCGGCAATTTAGTTCTTGAACAGAAATAGAACCGGATTGTACCGAATCAATAGCTTTCGGTTCTAATTTGGTATAAGTTTTTTAAAACCGAAGAAGTAAATGCCACGCAAGCTTTCTCGAGTAGAGAGCATTTCGGATTTGGTCGAAATATCTTTTTTTTATTAATGTATTTCCACGTTTTAATACTAATATTTTTTTTTAACAAATTTGAGATTTCTTGTTTCCCTCACCATATATATATTTTAATATCATAACCTCTTTCTAAAAACTGTGTTTTAGATTTTTTTTACGAGTATTAAGAAAATACAAAAAAAATCATGATTATTAAATCACAATCTCATTCATTTGTATTAAATCACAATCTCATTCATTTGTATTAAAATTAAATACTTTTATTAAAGGTAAAATTATAAATTTTATAAAAAAATTACCTAAAAAATCTAAAACAAAATTATTCTTTGTAACGATATCTAAGGGAGGGAGTAATATCTTTAAAATTCCATGGAACCTCTTTCACGCATCCTGCGAAATTCAGCCATGGCGGACGGCGAGGAAGAGAAGAAGAACGATCAAGCAAGGAATACGTTACAGACGACCTACTTCGACGTTGTTGGAATCTGCTGTTCATCGGAGGTTCCTCTTGTCGGAGACGTTCTCCGTCCGCTTGACGGCGTCAAGGAATTCTCCGTCATCGTCCCTCGAGGACCGTCATCGTCGTCCACGACAGTCTCCTGATTTCTCCGGCTGAAATCGGTGAGGAATCCAACTTTCTCTGCTTCCAAACAGCCTCCTCCCGTTTATTCGGACAATGAAATTGGATTTCCCGGCTTTGTCTCGCTGTTTGACTTTCGCTACACCATTTTCAATCGCTGATATTTCTCTTTCTCGGCATATCTACGATGTGATATGCATCAAATTTCCTTCGTTATTATGATTTAGATTAATTTTTTTTTCTGGGTGAATTCATTTCTTGGCAGCCAAGGCTCTGAATCAAGCAAGACTTGAAGCGACTGTGAGGCCGTACGGCGAGGCAGTCTTCAAGAACCAATGGCCAAGCCCCTTTGCAGTGGCTTCTGGCTCGTTGCTTGCTCTCTCCTTTCTCAAATACTTCTACGGCCCGGTAGAATTGCTAGCTGTGGCGGCAGCAGCAGCCGGAATTTTCCCCATAGCGGCCAAAGCTTTGGCTTCACTCAAAATGTTCCGGCTGGACATCAATGCCCTCATGCTCATAGCCGGTAAGACGTCTCTCTGGAGACTTTGTCCAATTGCATGCAAACTAACTCGATATGGTAGCATGCGATCGATTCTCTAATTGAGAATTCAAACCTTTTGCATATCAAAAAGATGAAATCTTTGTCGCTGGGCAGGCTTAGATGTTGTTCTATGAATGTCTAACTTAGGGTTGTGCCCGAGATTCTGGGTTTATTTACATCTTTTTGAGGGGTTTATTGGGGCTGTATATGTATGTGTAATGAGCTGATGAATCTCTCATCGTGTTTTTTGCTCAAAAGTGGTGGCAACGATGTGTATGCGGGAATTCACAGAAGCTGCCACAATTGTGTTTCTCTTCTCTATTGCAGAATGGCTTGAATCAAGTGCCGCCTGTAAGGTTCGCTTCTGCCTTCTTCTTTCCCTTTACTTCAGCAAAGGAAATGCATTTTGTGCATATATGTGTGTGTCTGTGCTCCTTTTTGTTCAAATGTACAACATGAGTTTGCCTCTGGTCTTCGATTCATTCACTTCGTCTTTGAAGTGTCTACCCGTCAGCAGATGTAATAAACTATTATGGTACTGTCTAAAACTATTTCAGGCAGGCGCAGCAATGTCATCACTGATGAGCGTAGCGCCACAGAAGGCAGTGATTGCCGAAACTGGACAAGTAGTTGGAGTTGATGAAGTTCAGATAAATACGGTCGTCGCTGTTAAGGCTGGAGAAAGCGTACCAATTGATGGAGTTGTAGTGGACGGAAGCTGTGATGTGGACGAGAAAACTCGGACGGGTGAGTCGTTCCCAGTGTCCAAACAGAAGGATTCGACCGTTTGGGCAGGAACCATCAATTTGAACGGTATACTGGCTTCTCTGTATTCAGACAATTCTAATGTTTCTGGCTTTGATCTCCTGACAGGATGGATATTGTTTCCTGTTGCTGTTTTTCTTTCTTTCTCATGTGAAAGGTTATATAAGCGTGAGAACTACTGCTTTAGCCCGGGATTGTGTAGTTGCAAAGATGGTAAAACTAGTTGAAGAAGCTCAGAAAAGCCAGACCAGAACTCAGAGATTTATCGACAGATGTTCTCAGTACTACACTCCTGGTGAGAAATCGGTTTCTATCTTAGTTTGCGTTAGTGTCATTCGACATTTGATACATTTCATATCATCAGTGTTTTAGCAGAAATATTCTGAGATGAATCGAGATCTAATCGTAGTTTTTGTTCAGCCGTTGTTGTAATATCAGCTTGTTTTGCGATAATCCCGACTGTCCTAAGGTTTGATAACCTGAGCAACTGGTTACACTTAGCACTGGTAGTGTTGGTCAGTGCTTGTCAGTTGTCCGTGCGGGCTTATCCTGTCGACACCCGTTGCTACCTTCTGTGCGCTCACTAAGGCCGCCATGTCTGGGTTTCTGGTAAAAAATGGTGACAGCCTCGAAACCTTGTCCAAGATCAGGGTTGCTGCTTTTGATAAAACCGGAACCATAACTAAAGCTGAGTTCCTTGTCACTGATTTCCGGGTTCTTTCCCATGATGTGAGTCATCATAACTTGATCTACTGGTAAGTATTTAACTTCCTACTGGAAAACCATTATGTTTTACAGTATATACCGAGAAACGAATGAGAAATATTTTCGCAGGATCGCAAGTATTGAGGACAAGTCAAGCCACCCGATGGCTGCAGCCCTTGTTAACTATGCAAGATCTGTTTCGGTCCAGCCTAAGCCCGATAACGTGGAGGGCTTTCAGAACTCTCCAGGGGAAGGAGTTTACGGAAGAATAGACGGGCAAGATATCTATATCGGAAACAAAAGGATTGCTCTCAGAGCTGGATCCTCGACAGGTCTCAGAATTTTGTAAATCAAATATTTTTTCGAGTGTTTTTTCTTCGTTTAAGATATATCTTCCTTCTGGATGCTATTGCTATTCAGTTCCGAACCCAGAAGCTGCTATGAATCGAGGTAAAACCATTGGATACGTATATGTTGGGCAAAGGCTGGCTGGAAGTTTCAATCTTTTGGACGGTTGTCGATATGGGGTAGCTCAAGCTCTCAAGGAACTCAAGTCCTTAGGCATAAAAACCGCAATGCTCTCGGGAGATAACCGAGCTGCTGCCATGGATGCTCAGGAACAGGTGAAGCCATTTCCACTGTTTTTCCTGTCCCTTTGGTTAATAAAAAAAACACAACCGCTGAATCTTAAAAAATGTTACAATTTTGTCAGCTAGGGAATGAACTTGACGCTGTTCATCCAGAGCTTCTTCCAGAAGACAAGGCAAGAATCATCGACGAGTTCAAGAGCCATGGACCGACAGCAATGGTGGGCGACGGCCTAAATGAGGCTCCGGCCATAGCCAAAGCGGATATCGGAATTGCGATGGGGATATCCGGCTCGGCCCTTGCCACAGAGACAGGACACGCGGTTCTGATGTCGAACGATGTTAGAAAGATCCCGAAAGCGATAAGGCTGGCGAGGAGATGCCAGAGGAAAGTGATGGAGAATGTGATATTGTCTGTGAGCATAAAAGGAGGGATCTTGGTTTTGGGTTTTGCAGGTTACCCTCTTGTCTGGTTAGCTGTTCTTGCAGATGCCGGAACTTGTCTGGTCGTCATCCTGAATAGCATGTTACTCCTACGGGACGAGCGAGAAGCCATTAGCGGATGTCATCGTTCGGAGAAGACAACCTCTGAGTCTGTGTCTGAATCGGTGAGAATCGAGAAGGAAGAGGATGAAATCAGGGACCTTGAAGTTGGTTTGTTGAGCAAGGCAACCAAGGGGAGTTGCTGCTCTAGTTGCCGTGGGAAAATTGTTTTATTATGTCCGATCGGTAGAACAAAAATTAACCAATTTGACGTTCTTTCTTTTTCTTTCCCTTGGGAAAATTGAAAATCATAAAAGGTTCCATCCATTTATTGATAATCTAATAACAGGCCACCAAAAATACATAAATCAATTTTTTTAGAAGAAAACTCTAATGAAAACTCTTACTTTTCATCCAAAAAATTGCGCCCATACACAGAATTGAGATATCAATACGTAAATAACAAAAATATAGCAGCATTAATAATATACATTTAATTGTCATTCGAAGTGGTATAAATTGTTTTCTAAAATAAATTGAACAAGAAATAATATACATTAACTGTATTTTAACATGATTTATATTAAAATTTACTCTACTATTAATCCGAAAATTTATCGAATTTTTTATTCAAGTATATCTTCCAAAAGATTTGGAAAGTTAAGATGACGAGATTAGAATTTAGATTGAGAACAAACGTTCTTCCTTTGCTTACTCATTGAACTACTTAATCTTCGATTAAATTTTTTTTGGTAAAATTTGATCCAACTTTCCAGTTTACCATTGACCATCCACACTTACATTTATTAAAAATATTCTTCTTTCGACATCAGATATTATTTTATTGGTGTCAAGCTTGTCCTTTCTTTGTAATTATTGTGCCGTCCACTACAACATATTTTTATCAATCAACATACTGGCTTAGGTTAGGAATGCAATTGGGTTCGATACCATCATATAATTAATAATGCATACAGTATCGTATAAATAATATTGTATATGTAGTCAAAATGATCCGTGTAAAAAATTTAATTGTTATTCAACTATCAACAACATCAAGGATTTCGGAACTTAAAAAAGAAACAAAAGAAAGACTGCGCCCTTTGGTGTGCAGTCAGGTGATGTATCTACTATCTATCATGTGAGAGTGGGAGAATCTTATCCATATCCCCACCCACCCTTATTGCTTTTGTTTCTCCACTTCTGTACCTTTTGCCCCCCGACCAGAACATTCGTCTTTCTGCGTCTTATCTCCCCACTTGTGCGGACTGACAGAGAGCCTCTTTCTGACTTATTCCGGCGACCAGACAAGGCCCTTCCCCATCCCCTCCCGACGAAGCCAGCACGGCTTTCGACTGTGACCATCTTCGTCGCATGAACCGCATGCATTGGATTGGGGCCAGCTTTCACGGTTTTATGGTTTCCTGACCCTCTACAGGCGCCGATGATCGTTTACGTTGTCCTCCGAGTTGCTTTTGGCCAAAAGACTTCCTTAATTGATTTGAGTCAGAAATCAATTCAGAGGATGATTATTTATTGGTCTCTTTTCCCCAATGCCGGCCGTCCTCCGAAGTTTTGCCTCTTCTGTATCCCATGCTGCCACGCATCTCTGTATCTATCCCCCGGTTGATCCAAATCATCCAACGACTTCTCCCTTCGAAAATTCCCGTTTCTCGGAAACCCCATCCTCTCCTCGTCTTCATTAGCTCTTGTTCTTGGCCCACCCCCAGATCGGGCCCCTCTCGCATTAGGCACCTTCTGGCTATAGTTAGGTGGTGGTGGTCCTTTCGGTACTGGGAAATCCTTGGGAAGTGACTCCATCTCCATAAAACAGCTTCTGGCCTTGGCATCGTTTATCAATGCAGCCCAATCGTCTGATTTCACTAGCGCCGCTGCATTTCCCATCACCTGTTCAACCAAAAACCCCAAGTTTTACATCGTCCTATAAAAAAAAATATGTGTGTTTATATCCACATAACAAGTTTATAGATCAATGTACGAAGGATACCCATAGAGCCCTTCTCGCTCGGGTAAGAGCGACGTTCATGCGGCGGACATCTGCAACGAACCCGACACCATGGTTAGAAGCACGCACACACGACATCACTATGATATCACGTTCTTGGCCTTGGAATGCGTCCACGGTATTTATATACAGCTCTTTCAGTTCCTCTTGACCCAACGCATTCCCAAACTCGTGTTTCAAGCATTTCAGCTGCAGCTTGTACGGTGTTATTATACCAACCGAAACTTTCCCGGCAGCGCCCATCGCCTTCAGCGTTTTCTGAAGATGCATGTACAGCCCGACACAGAAGCGTGCTTCATCGACGTTCTCATAAGACACGGATCCACCTCTATGCGACTCCCGTCCATGGCTGATATTGAAGAAAAGGTACGGTCTAAGTACAGGGTCTTTGTAGTAAACCTCATCGGGAGAATTGGCAACGCTTTCGCTATCACTAAGGCGTCCTTGGTAGAAGTATCTCGAAGGAAAATCACGGATCTGAGGATGCATCCTATATTGAACGGTTAACAACAATGTCGGGCATCCTGCTTGCTGAAACCTTTCAAAGAGACTTCTGCTATATAGAAGTGTACCAGCAGCCTTGCTGATAACCGTGGCAGGAAGCTGCTGAGGATCACCGACAAGAACACAACGTGCGGCACCAAGTGAAAGGGGAGGAAGAACTCCGACCTCACTAGCTTGAGCAGCCTCATCAATGACCACCATATCAAAGCCATGGGTGAGACGAGAGAACAATTTCCGGCCACTACTCGATACGGTAGTAAAAACAACCTCAGCTTCATTTGCGAAACTTGCCTCTAGATTCGCACGAGCTTCTTCAAGGTTGAAATTATTACCAGCGCGAAATTTCTCCTCGACAATGAGAAGGCGAGACATTTCGACAAGGACTTTATCTTTGGATTCGACCACAGCGGCAAGGGTCTGTAACAATGCATCTCTGTTCTGGTCCCTAGCCATAAGAACATCGGGATCAACTCCAACAGATCCTTGAGATCGAGTTGCAAAGGCTGCAGCAGTTAGGTCCCTTTTAAGTCCAGCTATCTGTACAGATAGTGCAGCCTCACGTTGTCTCAGGTATTGCATGTGTCCTAGAATTTCCTCACGAGGCTTAGCGAGTAGCTGCTCACTTCTTCGCTCCACAGAAACAGCTTGAGCAGCTCGAGTTTGAGAATCGACGCCCACTCGAGCCACATCCGGGCGATATACCTTCATTTCTCCGTCGATGAACCCACGATCGAGGACACGTGAAAGAAGCTCATCAGTTGCGGCATTTGAAGGAGCACAAACAAGCATCCGCGGCTTCGCGCAGAGTTGAGGTAGCGTACGGAACAGATTCTGGTCCATGTTTTGTAGCACTTCGTCAATCGATCCTGCTACAACATTATCTGAGCTACTCTCATTAACCTGTTTATAGCTCTCAGGCGCTAGTTTCTTCAGCAAAGAAGTGTAGTAGTGTTGATACTGAACCAAATGGATAACATTCAACATTCCCCAAACCGTGTGCGTCTTGCCCGTTCCTGGAGGGCCCTGAACAAGAGTAAACGGCCATGGATCTTGCCTCTTTATCCCACTACCAGTACCTGCGGCTGTATGCATTGCTGCCCAGTGGATTGCTGCCAGCTGGGGAGAGTTAAAACTCCTATGCAAATGATCAACAAAGTTCGGTGTGAAACAGTCAGGCATTGCAGGGGTCTGCTCCTCGTAATTAGGAAACTGCTCCGGGCTGGGCCTGAGAATTGCATTTTGCATCTGCAGGGGATAAAGTTGCAACAACATCAGGACAACTAAAATCATCTAACACAGATTTACTGGAATTGAAGGAAAAAAGACCTGTGGATTAAGACGAGAAAATGCATGCAGCGCAACATATTCTCTCTGTGTCGTTGCAAGCGAACCCAGCACTGTCAAACGCCAGATCTCCTTAGGTTTAAGCTTTCGCAAAATATGATTTTCATCCATCCTGGTGGAAAAGGAAATTAGCATGTTGGAGAACATTTGCCTTGAGTTTCACAGAGTTAATATCAAGAAAAGGAGTAAACGCTCAGATATGGTATTACCATTAGTAACTGGAGAATAAGACCCTACCTGCCGCTATCATAAGAGTCTCCAATATAGAAATGAAGAATTGCTCCAGGAGGATCACGGGTATCAACCGGTATATGCCTCCTAACTGTACCAGCTACACGCCCAGTATCCTCACGCTCCTCATCTTACCATAAAAGAGAAGATAAAAATTACACAACACAAAGAAGCATCAAAAGTACAACAATTAAACACCAATATAGCTGTAGAAATACCTGAGTCTGGAACAGGATTTGAGAGAACAGCAACATCCCCCTCCTTGAAAGGCCATTTACTGTCGTTAACTGAGAGAAGTATTACGTCGTACCATCCTAAAAGAGATGAAAGAAAACAAACCCAGTCAGATAACAAACTAGAACAGTTAGCAGACTCTTGGAGGTGCATGCGCATAAAAGTGTAGAAGCCGGATTTTCAATTCACAGACACCTATCTCCACAACACTAGAGAAAAGCAAATGCAAAGAGAGTGAATTACCTCTCTCTCTTCTTTCTACGAACTTTATTCGGACCTTCATATATGCATTTGCTTCAGTCATCTCTTCCCATGTGCTGTAAAGCTGTGCCCGGCATTCCTCAAGAAACATGGTGAAATTCCACTAACCATATGGATTTAGTGTACGATTGAATGCAAATTTTTATAGGTTTGTAACCAATCACATGCATGGAATTAACGTTCATAATCTAAAAATATGTATATGAACCGTATAAACCTGTTGACAGGGCGATAACCTCGGTCTGAGCAGACAAATAGCGAACCACTTGGGGCATTCCTCAAAAAGTAAAGGTTCGAAAACTCTGACGTACTCATCCACAGATTCAAACCGCCCAGGAACACATTGGAGCTCAGTATCCTCTGATTCATGAGGGTAAAAAAAGGTTAAAACACCAGACACGAAAACTAGAAAGAGGCCAGAGAGACTGCAAATAAACCACAGGAGAAACACAAAGTAGAGATGATGATACACTATAAATGTCAAATTTGACATACATATCAAACCTCCTCACTGTAAGTTGTCTACAGAAAAGGCCAAAGGCATGTCAATGGTAACCAAATGAAAGGTCATTCAGCTTTTAGGAAAAGCATCAAAAGCTTATCTTCTATTTGATTATACTGGAAAAAAAAAACTACATCAACCAGAAGATTACCCTATCAAGAACCAGCCTAAATTTCAGTCCTTATTAATGCTTTCCATCAACAGGAAAAACGACTGTCACAACATAGCTCAGAAAAGTTGGGCAACTAACATTATAAGCTCTTACGTTTCCCATGTGCTCCGTGCCTCAACAGGGGAGCAACATTAACAAAGTCAAAGCTAGTAAGGCGATCAAACAAAACACAGAATCTTTTATAAGCTTTAAATTACTATGAAACTAAGGAGAGCTGCATTCACTAAAGAGAAGCATTAGATGTAAAAAATGAAAGTAGATCAGAAATTAAACACAATCCAAAAGGATTTTTTTTCATCTGCTTTTACAAGTACGCATATATTTGTCGTCACCTTCCATGTCCTTTGGCCATCACGATTCTCATTGAGTCATGACTGGAGGACAAAGGGAACTGGCACGCAAAATCATTGAGGCAGTAAATATTTTATGGGCACCTTAAATCAAGGTTCAATAACTTATTAGAAAGGATGGGGCATTCGATTTCATGATCTATAGTTTGAAATTTAAGGTTAAACATACCTGCATGATGCCAGAATTTTTCATTGGTGACCTCCCGTATAAGACGTTCCACCGAGGTATCCTGATATTGTGTACTAGCTGTGGCTGGCTTCTTGGAAAGAACAACCTTTTTGTTTCCCAATTTTGAGTCTATAGAACTTTGGCTACTTAAGGGTACTTGTCTATTAGAGTACTGGCCAATCTTGGGCTTCCTTGAATCTGTTGGATGCTTCCATGAACCCTGCCTCGAAACAGATGTTACTGTCACATCAGCAGAAGGTCCTGTATCCCCATTCAGCCTCCTAGGTCTACCAAGTAATCCCGAATATGATTCGCCGTTGCATTCGGACTTCAGTTCAGATGATTCATGAAGACCTCCATTTGAGGGAGCATCAATTGGTGTTTTATCTCTATTTAAGACATGACTCTGACTTTCACCATCATGCTCAGCAGCAGGAGGCCCTGCCCGAGGTTCTTTGACTGTGCGTGTGATGACGGGTTGTGGGAAATTCTGTCTTCTAGGTGTTGATGTTTTAATAGGACCAGCTTGCTTGACATCTTCCAAATTCAAAAACATGGTCTGCCTATTCCGTTTCTTCCCCAACATTGCTTCTTTATGCTGATCCATCTTTCTTTTGACAGTGGTGTTAGCACACTTGATTGTGTGGCTTGCTTCAACACCTTTGATATCTCTCTGCTTCATGGTCAAACCCTGTTCTTGAGGACCATCAACACTGTCTTTAGCACTGCCTTCTGAAATATGGTTGGTGTTTCTCTTTTGAAGACCAGAGCTTTGATCATGATCTAATCCTACTGGGGTATTATCAGAAAAGGCACCACTTTCAGGCATCCCCTGTTCTCGTGACATACCCTTAGAATCAGAGTTATTATGTACATGCTCATTATCAGGAGCCTCAGACTCAGTCCATTCTCCTTCCTCTCTCTCAGAGGTTTCAACTGCAGTTGTACTAGAAACTATTGATGATGCAACTTTTGTTTCCTCACATGTGTCTGGCCTTGATGATGACAAAGATACTGTAGCCTTGATTGTATCCTCTTCCTTTCTTTGCTGAACTGATACATCCAGATGTTGTGCAGCCTTAGGGCGGACAAAAGGCTGAAAACCAGAAACTGTTGATGCATGCGAGAATGCACGAATGTTTACAATATTTTGAGCATTATCCGGTGTTGCAAGCATACCAGAGGTATTAGGGTTTGCAGATGGAATAACCTTTTGAGGTTGACTGCAAATTACATGGTCATTCCCATCACCATCTTCCGCAGGAAGCTCATTAAGATCAAATAGCAGTTTTCCTCGAGAACCCATCGCTTATGTATAGTCATAAACAGTGAAGAGTAGTTCCGTGCAAGTACAAGTAATATGTTTTCTTTCTTCTGTGCGAATATGCACATAAGATGCCAGAAGATAAGGAATCAAAAGATGTTATCCCTCTCGAAGACAGCAGCTTCTGCAGAGAAAGTTTAGATCCAACAGAATCCACAATCAATGTATATACCATACATACAGAACGCGATTTAAGGAAAAAAAAAACAGTAAGAACATATGGAATGTGCATCAGGAATGTTAACATAATCAACTCGATCAAACACACGCGAACACAAACCATTACACTTCTAAAAATATAGAATAAGGACAAGGGCATCTTTGATTCACGTGGGCTTTATCCATGCTCAAATTAGTGCAATACACAATCAAGCCTCGGACCAGATTTTTCCCTTGCCTTTCTATCACTTCAAATTCCGGAACGCTAAATTGCCGGCACTAACAGCGACTGCTAACGCAAAGTTAAAGCGATCAGAAATGAGCATAGCAATCAACAGAACAATCACGCGCGTAAGTTATGCCAAAAACCAACAAAAAGGTATAAGAACTGAGCATAGCAATCGACCGAACAATCACGCACATAGAAGCAACATTAATTATAGAATCGGCGATGAAAGACCGTAGATGAACTCAATGGAACCAAACAGTAATCGCCTTCAAACGAATATAAATCAAAGGAAATAAACAAAATCAAAAATCCAAATCGAGCAAACGACCCAGCGGCAACCTCTAGGGTTTCCTCGGATCGACCAACGACAAGAGGAAGTCCGAAAGACGTCTGGGCGACGACGGACACTACTCCGGCAAGGAAAAAGGAGGAGGAGAGAATGCTTCGACGACGGTGGCGGCCGGCCGAGACGGAGGCGGAGATCGGAGATCTGATCTCGTGTTTCTCTGTCTATCTCTTTCTCTCTCCTATTGATTTCGGCGATTCCACGGAGTTTTCGACGGAAGGGGAGAGAAGAATCTGGTGGTTGAGAGAAGACGTCAGATTGGATTTGGACCGTTGGATTGAGGAGCAGAGAGGGAATCGGACGGCGAAGATTGAATGAACAGAGATAGATGCATTTGGGCCCTGAATCTGTACACCGTTCTGATGGATAATGCATCGTCAGACGCTATTCTTATTTATAGGCGAGAGAGAGGCAGGCTAGTTTGGTTCCCCTTGTATTATTGCATCACAACACAAGCAAAAAGCTAGTTTTTCTAGAATTTATTTAAAATTAAAATTATTTCTTTATTGTAACATTTTCATATAGAAATTTAAACAAATACTAACATTTTCATATTTTCATGAGAAAAAAATTAAAATTTTGTAAATCATTCTTGAGATAAAGAATAAAGCGTTTCCTTTGATGGTGTTTTTATTTCGATGTGAATAAATCAAGAATTTTGATGATTCAGTCATTTAATGAGAATATATTTTTTAATATAACTATCAACATTAACGTTAATAATTTATACTTTGCTTTTAACCCTTACTTGTATCAATATGGACAGTTATAAATATTTTTGTTTCGTAACAAAGATCAATATCATATTTTTACTGATTTTTTAATTGAAGATAGTATCTCAAATTATTATTTTTTTAAATCCACACGATGTTAAATAAAAGGAGTATACAGCACATATACGTTTTTTTCTAACGACATGCATATACTCCATTCATAAAATATGATTTATTTTATTTTCTATTAAAAAAATTTAGTTATTAAAACTTAAATCAAATCAATATATTCAAGTTGAATATAGTCTAAAAATATATTATATATAATATCTTTTAAATTAAATTAAACAAATTCAAACCGAATATTGATTCAATATGCAAATAACAAAAAATATCAACTAAAAATAAAATAATATATTTTTACTAACATTCAAATTTGAATAAAAAAATTGAACCAAAATTTAGAAAATATATTTTATTAATAGCATTCAACTTTGAATAAAATTCAACTAAAATTTCAACAAAACTAATAAATTTAATTTAAAAAAACTAAAAAAATGAGACTAAAATTTGAAATGCCCACCTTAATTATTTGTTATAATACTATATTTTATTCATTTTTAACACGTTATTCATTTAATATAAACTTAATCATATATAACAAGATATATTTTCTATCAAAAAAGCGTGATAAACGGTTTTAGATAGATTAAAAAGAAAAAGAAACAATTTAACTCAATAAATATGATATGAAACTCGACTTTTGTGAAGAAAAAATATTTTTGATTTGGAAAAAAAATTATATAATTAGACCTTTTAACTAAAATTTGAAAACACAAAACACATAATAAATTTATAAACTGTGTAGAAATTTTGAAGATATCTTTGTTTTCGTAATATGCATCGATATTTAGATAAACCAAACCATATATTAAAATATTTTGGTCAATAAATTAATAAATACAAGAAGACGTAAAATGGAAAAATATTTCCTTGAATAACTCATTTTTTCTGGTGAAATTCATCCTAGGATTAATTATTTAATTCTTGCCAGTGACGTGTTGCATGTTTATTCTCTGCCCATTTCGAAACATATAAATAATAAGATCCATATGTTTTTTTTCCAATTACCGTTTATACCCTGATCTTATTTCCTCCACATTGTTTAGTTCGACCAAATTAAGGGGTACTTATGACATTTCAGAGTTGATTTTCTACTAAAATGGTCTGACATGAATGGGTGCAGACATTCATTAAATTATATAGGCGCCAATTCGGAAAACGTTCGAAATTAGAGGAGTGTTTATGTAATTAACCTAAAAATATAATGCCTTTTATTTGACTTGCAGTCTCATTATGTAATGCACGCCCTTTCGTTCTCCCTCTCTCGCGACTCGCGCTCTCTCTGTCTCTTGCTGTGCTCTGTTGCGGTCTCCAATGGGGCACTCGACCAAGAGATTTGTGCTTCTTTTTCTGATAATGTACTCCATCGTTGGAGAAATCACGTGCATGCCTTCATCTTGTTCTGGAAACGATGAAGCGTGTCCTTCGGACGGCCATGGCTGTTATGATCCTCGAACCCAGGAGCTCGAAGAGCTCAGATCCAGGGTTTCCGCTCTCGGTACCTTTAAAATCTCTATAACCTTTTGGATTTTGTCTTGCTTCATTCGGTTTCATGGGTTTTCACGGAAATTTTCGTGGAAGTTTGTGTTTATGTTCGGTGACGACATAAGCAATAAAAAGAAACTTTAAATCTCAGGATTTTTCCCTCTAAATTTCATGGCTTTTCAAAGTTGGAACATGCAGTTTTCGTATTTCATGATCTGGTTTTGGTTTATTTTTATGTTCCCCAAAGCATCGACCATCAAAGAGAGGGAACTGGAACTGAAAGAAACAACTCAAAGAATGGAGACAACTATTCGAGAAAAATCAGACAAGATTTCGCAGTTGCAGAGTGAGATAGACTTTATTGAAGTAAGAGTTCATGTCTTTTCTTGGATCATCCAGTTTGAAAACAGAAGTTCAATGAGATAGAGAAGAAGGGTGTTCTCTGAGACATTCACTTTCGTCTTTTTTGATGTTTGTCAGTCGGCAAGTTCAGTGAAGCGAAAGGGCAAAGCGGAAGAACAGGTCTATCAACTTGAGAAGCAGGTTAGTTACAGGAGACCGATGCGTTTCATTCACTATTTTCCAGTTCATGGAATGTCTTAACGTCCTTTGTTTGACAGATTTTCAAACTGAATCGGGAAGCAGATGCGCAAAACAAGAGAAGGGTCGAACTGGAAACCCGGACCGAGGTGACAGAGAAAAGAGTTGTGGAACTTGGCTCGAACCTTGAAAATGTAAGAAACCCTTCTGCTCCAAGACATTACTTTCAAGCCTTTGATAATGCTCACTATATGATTTCCTCCCTCCTTTTATCAGCTTCTAAAGGTGAATGTAGAACAGAAGCAAAGAACCGAGTTCTCCCTCAAGTCTTTTGCTGCTTCATCATATAAGAAGTTCACCGAGGTCGGTTGTGGTTTATAATCAAAAGTTAATGTTCTCCATTGATAAGCAAACACTTAGATAGAATAAATGGACCGAGCTTACTTGACTGTTTGTTGCCTGTTAAGGTGAATTGGGGGAAGCTGTGGTATAACCTTCATTTTCATTTGCGTCAAGCTCGGGTAAATCTCAAAGCTTTTAAGTGTGTGTATAACATAGAACAAGTTTTCAGTCATTACATACTCGATATCTGCAGGTATATGTGATGACCCGTTGGTCTGAGTATCTCCGCCCGACTCTGTCTTCCAGAGCTCAAAAGGTCAGTCCACGAAACCCAGAACTCGAAAAATACTTATCAAGATAATATTTTGTGGATTGCCCAAAAAGAAGAAGAGGTTTTCTAAAACCGTCTATTGTTTTGTTGCTTCAGTGAATCATTTTGTGGCATTTATCATCCTTTTTCTTTTTCTTCCATCAGGCGGCTGAGATGATGGATGAAGTAAGAGGGTGGTCTGAGCCGCACATCCAAACCCTCAACGATGTATACGTTTTGTTTCTAGGACTTTTTGACATTTTCTTGACCTCGTTTGCTCTTGATGATCGTGGAAGGGAGACCTAGATTCATCCCTTTCTTGTTTGGGTTTACAGAAATGGATACCAAACATCAAAGATATGTTGTCAACGCGTGCCATTTATCTTGCTCGATCGCTCACCCAGAACTCCATCAAGGTATATCGTATGTGTAAGCAGGCTTTGGCACGATATCTCGTCCAAGCATTGGATACGATGTACAACTACGTTCAGGTCAGGAGGTTATTTTCAGTTGAAGTCCTATACTTCTTTTAACCCGAGTTCTCCCTTGTTTACTTGGCAGCCGTTTGATAAACCCTTCCGAATATATCGCAGGAGGAACAAGGGAAGGAAGAAAGTAGCCACGGTGGAAGAAGCTATGGAGCATCAGAAGGAAGAGAAGAGAGCAGAAGGAAAGAAGACTGACACAGGGGGAGCAAGGAGGCTTAGGGTATCGAATGTTTTATTTTGGAGTGTGTGGGAAGAAAGAGACTCTGAAAGAAATCTGGGTATTTGTATTTCCTTTTGGTTCTTTTGGAATACAAATCGGCATTAATATTATCACCCTTGTGCAAACGAACCAGCGGCAACCTCTAGGGATTTCTCGGATCGACCAACGCCAAGAGGAAATGCCGAAAGACGTCCTGGCGAGGAAAAAGGAGGAGGACAGAATGCTTTGACGACGGCCGCGACCGGCCGCGACGGAGGCGGAGATCGGAGATCTTGTACTTCTTTTTTTCAAACGACATGTATATACTCGATTCTCAAAACATAATTTATTTTCTTTTCCATTCAAAAAAGTCAATTATTAAAAATAAATTCAAATCAAATTTAGCAAATTTAAAAATCTATTATATTTAAAACATTTTAATTAAATTAAATTTAGCAAATTTAGATCAAATATTAATTCAATACGCAAATAACAAAAAAAATGTCAGCTAAAAATAAAATAATATCTTTTTATAACATTCAAATTTAAATAAAAAATTGAACCAAATTTAGAAAATATATTTTATTAATAACATTAACCTTTGAATAAAGTTGAACCAAAGTTTCAACAAAATGAATAAATATAATTTTAAAAAACTTGAAAATTAAAAAAAAAAAACGAGACTAAAATTAATAAATTTTGAAATGACCACTTTATTTCTTTGTTATAATAGTATATTTTATACATTTTTAACACGTTATTCGTGTAATATAAATTGAATCATATAGTGGAATATATTTTCTATAAAAAAAAGCGTGATAAACGGTTTTAGATAGTTCTTTAAAAAAAAAGAAAAGAAACAATTTAACTCAATACGTATGAACTAAAACTTGACTTTTGAGGAAAAAAATATTTTTGATTTGGAAAATTTTATATAATTAGACCTTTTGACTAAAATTTGGAAGCACATAATACAATACAATTACAAACCGTCTATAAATTTTGAAGATATCTTTGTAATCTGCATCCATATCTAGATAAATAGGAATTTTCAAAGGAAAATATGTTGCTTTTTTCTTCTATATTACGTTTTAAAGTCCCTTTTCAAAACCATATATATGTATATATAAATAAAATATTTTGGTCTTTAATTTAATAAATACAAGAAGACGTAGAATGGAAAAATATTTCCTTGAAAAACCTTTTTTCTGGTGAAATTCATCTTTGGTTTCATAGTATGCATGTTTGTTCTGTGCCCATTTGGAAACATACAAATAATTAGATCCATATGTTTTCTTTTCAGTTACCGTTTATACCCTGATCTTATTTCCTCCACGTTGTTTTGTGTCACAAAAGTAAGGGGTAATTATGACATTTCAGAGTTGATTTTCTACCTAAAATGGTCAGCCGGAAATTTAAATGCATGAATGGGTGCAAGCATTCCCTAAATTATATAGGTCCCAATTCAAAAACTTTCGAAATTAGAGGAGTATTTATGTAATTAACCTAAAAAATATAATATATTTTATTTGACTTGCAGTCTTCTTATGTACGCTCTTTCGTTCTCCCTCTCTTGCGACTCGCGCTCTCTCTGTCTCCACTGTGCTCTGTTGCGGTCTCCAATGGCGGACTCGGCCAAGAGATTTGTGCTTCTTTTTCTGGTAGTGTCCTCCATTTTTGGAGAAATCACGTGCATGCCTTCATCCTGTTCTGGAAACGATGACGCTTTTCCTTCGGACGGCCATGGCTGTTATGATCCTCGAACCCAGGAGCTCGAAGAGCTCAGATCCAGGGTTTCCGCTCTCGGTATTTTAAAATCTCTCTGTCCTTTTGGATTGTCGTCTATCTTCATTCGGTTTCATGGGTTTTCCCGGAAATTTTCGTGAAAGTTTGTGTTTATTTCCTGAGACGAGGCTGTTAGTGAAAATTTTAGATGATTTTTTTTTATGAAATGTGAAGTTGATTTTTGGTAGCTTTTTCGGTGATGAGCCAACTTTATTTTCTGGGTTTAGGAAATGTAAGGAATACGAAAAGGTTCGAATAATTTTCTTTTCCGTTTGGTCTGTTTGGCTTCTGGGAAAATGCGGGCGACCGGTAACGGATCGTTGGATTTCCTCTGAGGTTTTTCTGTTTGGTTGCTGGGAAAATGGGCCGCGAAAGAGGCCGATTTTCAATTAGATTCGGTGTTTTTGGTTGATATCGGAAGATGGAAGGCGAAGAGAAACCGCTCGATCTCGTTTTCAGTTTGTAGAGTTCATGTGATATTTTTCTCCTGCGCTTGGTTTCTGAGAAAATCAGAGAAAGCAATAAAAAAATCTTTAAATTTCAGGATTTTCCCTCTCAAATTGACGGCTTTACAAAGTTGGTATATGCAGTTTTCATTTGTCATGATCTGGTTTTGGTTTATTTTTTTGTTCCCCAAAGCATCAATCTTCAAAGAAAGAGAAGTAGAACTGCTCAGCAAGGAAGAAACAATTCAAAGAATGGAGACAACTATTCGAGAAAAATCAGACAAGATTTCACAGTTGCAGAGTGAGATAGACTTTATTGAAGTAAGAGTTCATGTCTTTTCTTGGATCATCCAGTTTGAAAACAGAAGTTCAATGAGATTGAGAAGAAGGGTGTTCTCTGAGACATTTACTTTGATCTTTTTTTATGTTTTTCAGTCGGCAAGTTCAGTGAAGCGAAAGGGCAAAGCAGAAGAACAGGTCTATCAACTTGAGAAGCAGGTTAGTTATAGGAGACCGATGTGTTTCATTCACTATTTTCCAGTTCATGGCATGGCTTAACGTCCTTTGTTTGACAGATTTTCAAACTAAAGCGGGAAGCAGAGGCGCAAAACAAGAGAAGGCTCGAACTGGAAACCCGGACCGAGGTAGCAGAGAGAAGAGTTGTGGAACTCAACTCGAAGCTTGAAAATGTAAGAAACCCTTCTGCTCAAAAACATTACTTTCACGCCTTTGATAATGCTCACTATATGATTTCCTCCCTCCATTTATCAGCTTCTAAAGGTGAATGTAGAACAGAAGCAAAGAATTCACAATACTGAATTCTCCCTCAAGTCTGCAGAGGTTTGTTATCCATTTTTCTCTCTCTCTCTCTCTCTCTCTCTCTCTCTCTCTCTCTCTCTCTCTCTCTCTCTCTCTCTCTACTATATCACAAAAACTGTTCTTGTGCTGGCTCTAGGAGCGACTGTCAAAGGTGGAATCTTTTGCTGTTTCATCGTACAAGAAGTTTATTGAGGTCTGTTGGGGCTTATAATCAAAGTTATATTCTCCATTGATAAGTGAACACATGGATAGAATAAATGGACTGAGCTTTTTTGACTGTTTGTTGTCTGTTAAGGTGAATTGGGAGAAGCTCTCAGATAAGTTTGATTTTCATTCGAGTCAAGCTCGGGTAAATCTCAAAGCTTTTAAGTGTGTGTGTAACATAGAACAAGTTTTCAGACTGTATTCTTCTGAACATCTTTTATCCACATACACTCCATATATGCAGGCGTATCTGATGACCCGATGGTCTGAGTATCTCCGCCCAACTCTGTCTACAACAGTTCAAAAGGTCAGTCCCCAAAACCCAAAACCCGAAAAATATTTAACAAGATAATGTTTGTGGGTTACTCAAAAAGGAAGAAATTTTATAGGAACACCCATTGGTTTTGCTGCTTCAGTGAATCATTTTATAGAATCTCTCATCCTTTTCATTTGTCCTCCGTCAGGCGTCGAAGAAAATGGATGAAGTAAGGAAGTGGTCCGAGCCACACATACAAACCCTCAACAACGTATACTTATTTACCTCGTTTTGTTTCTAAGACTTTTGACATTTTCTTTACCTAATTTGCTATTGATGATCATCGAAGAGACCTAGATTCATCCCTTTCTTGTTTGATTTTACAGAAATGGGTACCACACATCAAAGATATGTGGCTAACATGTGCCATTTATCTTGAACCGAAAATTCAATCACTAACCCAGAAGTCTGTCGAGGTATATCACATGTCTAAGCAAGCTTTGTCGCCATATCTCGTCCAAGCAATGGATACGACGTATGACTACTTTCAGGTCAGAAGGTTATTTTCAAATAAAGTCCTATACATAATTCTTTTAGCCAGCTTCGCTTTCTTGACTCGTGCTCTCCTTTGGTTATTAGGTAGCCAAGAGGCATACACAACCATACACAACCCGAGTTGTTACAGTTGCAAAGCCACATTGGGACAAAGCCCATGTTGCCTTTGAGCCCTATGCCGAGAAAATGAGACATGCTTTCACAAAGTTGTTGAACTCAACCGCTGTCTACCATCAGCAGGTTACTAATTACACGAGATTTCTCTAATCTTGACCCGGTTGTTTTTGTCAATTCAAGAACATTAAAGCTTCATTCTTTTGTGAAAAAGGCTCAAGAAATGCTGAAGAACAACGAGCTGACGAAACCGGTGGCCACTGTGGACTTGGCTTGGTTTGTGGTATGTCCTTTTGGATGGAGATTTCTCACCATTTTAACCTAAAGGAAACTTCATAACTTACTGAAACCTGTATTCCAACTTCTCTGCAGGCCACCGCTTTGCTCGGGTTACCTCTCATATTTGTCATCAAATTCCTTTCCGCCATCTCAAAGTAAGTAGAAGTGAATCTTTTCGATGTTTAGAGTTCGTAAAGTAACAAAATCACAAGTTTATCCGCTTGCCGTTGCAGTACAAAGCCAAAGAGAAACAGCCATAAACATCACCATGGGAGCAATGGCCATCGAAGAGCAAAGCGGCGTCATCCTTACTATTGAAACATTCAATAGAAAGAGTTTCTGTATGTTTCTCGATCAGTTTCATTATATGAAAAAGTTTTTCGTATTGTACCAAATATGAACTTACTGGTAAAAACTCCATTGCAGGTGCGTGCATGCTTATAAACATGGTAAACAGGCATGGGTTTTGGTAGAAGAAGATGATTAAAGCTTTGTGCCTTTGGTTTTTTCAGGGCATGTCTATGTGTTTTGTAATGAGGTTCTTTTAGAGCAGACACCTTCATGTCTCTGATTTCAACTCTACATCTCTAATCTTCTCCTATGGTATGATAATAGATCCGTTCCCTAATCTTTATGTGGTGATTTTGTTGAATGTTTTTCTTGTTAAATTTATGATTATCATTATGATATGAAGTAATTTTTTTATTAGTTTTCCCTAATGTATTTCTTATTTTAATTATTTTCACATCAGTTATATCAGATTTCGTTTAATTAATTAAAAACAAGATCTGAGGATCATTCGCAATATTTATATATATAGAATAGTGACGAGAAAATTTTCTTATAACAAGAAATGCACGAGGGGAAACTAATGAAAATTGATTCAGACCATTACCAGCTAAATCTGATTTTTTTTTTTAATTAATTAAAATTGAGATCCAAGATACTTGGAGTTGATACGAAAATTATGTCTTTAGGATTAGGACATATTAATTAATTTCTTTCTACAGACTACAGCCCAAACCTTAGCATATAAATAAGATCCACCTCAAGTATGATATGGTCATTAGAAGAACAGTTAAGGAAAAAAAAAAAAAAAAAACATGCATCTTCTTGATCTAGGAGTCTCAATTGGGTCGGTCCATCCCGGACCGATCTGGTCCGAAGTTTTCAGTTTGGAATTCGCGTCGACCTGATTTTTTTTTATCTTAATAAACTAAATTCGAAATCCGGTCCTATAAAACTCGGTTCGCATTGAGCGAGCCCGTTTAATACATATAAGAAAATCAAATTTTATGTATTTTTAATCTATTATTTTTCAGATGGTTCAAATCGATCTTTTGAATTTCAAACCCAAATTGACATTCCTATCTTGATAATCTACATTCCTATCTTGATCTTCTTTATCTCTTTTGTTTAAAGGGAGGATGCAATTTTTATTTTTATTAAAATACCCAAGAATAGATATGGTATCATAACTCTAATGCTGAGTGATACAATTTTTTTAAAACTAAAAAAATCAAATTCATATTGAATATAAATCTAATCCGAAATTCTGTTCCTAAATAAACTGAAATTCATATTGAATAAAAACATAATAGATAGGAATTTCGAACTTGGAATCAAAATTCGACATCTGCTCAATCGCGTGACGCATATTTTATTAAATAATATAATTGTGAGAACCACATAATTGGAAACATCAAGAGAAACATCGTCTTATTATATACGGAATATAACACCGTAAATATATATTTGAATGAGAGCTTAACAATGGTAGTAGCAATTGCAGAGGACAACGTTGGCGATGGAGTCGCAGCTGCCCTGACCACCTAAGATCTCACCTGCGCATTTGTTCTTGCAACAGTTGATGTCGCAGTCTTTGGTGCAAAGCCCGAACCCTTTGGTGCATATATCCTTCGCCTCACGACACGTCACCCTCTCCAACCCTCCTGCATTTCATGACTTCGTTATTTCATATAAAAATATATATGATATATATAACATGGTTTAGAACCATACAAACGAGTTATTTTGTCGAGAAAAATAATTGCATGATAAATTTAATGGGATCTAACCTGTGAAAAGGAGGAAGAGGGAGAAGAGGATGAAGATTGAAGAAACCTTGGCCATCTTTAGGTTTTTTTTTTTTTTTTCCTTTGGGGAATATAATGTAATATTATGTATACTATTAACTTGCTATGAATTTCAACAACTAAGGGTTCCTACCAATTTATAGGGCCAACTTGGGGTTGAAGGATAAAAAATATTAATTATGAGTATTTAGGGTTTTTATTATATAGGGCCAAATTGGACATTGTTTTCCTTATTTTTTCATAATTTTTATGATTCATTTCCAAATATAAACCCTAAATTTGATTATTATTATTATTACTATATATTATACGTTACTTCTTCTAATTGTTAACTAGGATATCAAATCTTAATTACTCATATTTATTTCTTAAGAGGTTTTCTATTTATCTTTCCTTATTCAAGAGATTGACATTGAAGGGAAAAGATTGCAAAACAAAAATTTTCCATCACTGAAGAACTCATCTCAATTTTGAGCAAAGGAAAATAGTATATAAGGGAAGATATATTGAGTTGTTTCGGTTTTGATTTTGTTTCTTTATTTTAGATTTTTAATATTTTATAAATAAATTAAATTCAGTTTTTACTGATCTTTTTGTTTTGTTCTGAATTTAGCTCGATTTGATGTGTTTAAACTGTTTTTTTTTTCTTTTCTAAATCTGGTTTTCTAATTATTTTTATATTCCATTTAAACAATCACTCAAAACCTGTTTTTTTATATAAGATAATCAGTTGTTGAACTTAGACCAAAGGATCAAGTAATGGGCTTTCGAGATATAATCAAATTATATACAAACTCTTTTCCGGTTTTTTCTTTGTAAAACAAATATAATAAGCTAAAGAACACTACAGTCAATCTTATGAAAAGAGACGACAAGGGCTTGAAGATCATATCCGACATTGTAGAACTGCTGAGCCACAGCTCCGATGATGTTCGCGTCGAGCATGTTTTTTGCCAAAGCTATGGATAAACAGAAGGTGTCGGGTCCATTCATGAAGAACAGACTCTCCTTATCCATCGACAGCTCCGCCCCTCCAGAGAAATGGAACGTCAGCACAGGAAAACCAGTCAGGTCCCTTCGTATATTTCCATGGTAACACATCAATCTACGTGAATGCAGACGCGTTTTCATGAATTTCTTCTCTAGAACGTTCCTTATCTCCTTCCCCACCGGCTCGTACGCTTCTCTGAACAGATACACCAGCGTCGAGCCGGTATCGATCAACGTTCCATGTCTTCCGTCTATTTTGCGTTGAAATACCGACGGCTCGATCGCCAGCATGATCTCCCCTATGCTTATCCCTTCGAGGGTAACGTAATACAAACCTCGAAAGATCTCTAGTGGCGTCTTGTCGCCCATTATAACGGCTTCGTCCTCTCCGAGCGCGAGGATACTGTCTGTGTAAGAGGAATCGCTCGCGTTACCGAAGCAGTACGAGAATCTCGACCCGAACCGGTGGATGATCGAGAGATTGTTGTGACTCAAGCCCAGAATTCCGCTCAACCCGTTGGCTAAGTTTCCGTAGTTATCGTGGCCGCAGCCGAAGACAACGTCGTCCAAAGTGGACACGACATCGCCGTAGGTTGTCTGAAAGGTTAGTGTTTCAGTGGCTAGTGTGCCACTGCTCCCGTATTCGTCCGTATACGTGCAAGATATGGTTTTCTCGTCAGGAACGAGGATAGGATACGTATAGGAAGGCTCGCACGGCTGATTCTTGTACGTATACGATATCTCGGGATCAAAGATGGGATACCTTTGACGGTAACAATGGCTACAAGGACGGCACTGAAGCCACAGAAGGGCACTGGTCGTATCGATCTGCAATAGATGCGGAACCGGCGGGTCGCCGATGGAAATGGTCGCATAGTAAGAGATGCTTCGTCTTCTCCGAGACATTACAGGAGAAACCGCGTCATGAGTGACGTCATTGTTGAAGGAGTTGCTGTGTAATAACTTCACAACCATCCCGGCTTCTGTTTTGGATTGGATCATGAGAAGAAGAAGCGAGGAAAACGCCATGCAGAGAAGAGATACAAATGATATATCCATTTTCTCAAAATTTAATTTAAATTTCGGGGAGATGGGCGATGTTCTTTGAATGATTTTGGACCTTTTTATACAAGGTGGAAAACGCATTCATGGCAAGAAAAAGATATAAATGAAAAATCAGTGCTGTTCTTTGTGTGAGCCACGTATAAGTTTCAATGGATTCGACATTTCATATGCACGTACGAGCGGTGTTTCTTGCATGGGGAAAAGATTGACGGATGAGCAGATGATATGTTTCTTATTCCATACAGTACTGCAAGTGATATACACACATGTATACATTAATACATATATATATATATGTATACGTTATAGTTTTTTACGCGTGGTTTGGTTTTTATTATAACTCTTTCTTCATCAAAAAGATTACTATATATATATATATATATATATATATAAGAGCCAAGAACAAGAAACTGTAGGTTCAGAGTAGTTTGTCTTCTTGTGCCAAATACCGAATATCAAGAAACTAGAAACTGTATATTATATATCAACATTGTATTTCCTCAATAATATGTTTTTTTTTTTAATTTACCAAATTAAAAAAAAAAGACTCGGAAAATTCTTTTTCCACAATTATCAAGGAGGGAATGAGGCAACAGACCAGTTTTAATATTATTACCTCGTAGCTTCTTGGGTGTTGGTTTTGTCTGAACGCTTCTTGCTCTTCCG